CCTGCTGTGCTGCACTGACAGTTGGTCATAGTATGTTGTCAGATGGTCCGTGCGGAGCGGGGGGATGAGGACATCCTCCCTGGCTCATTTTACAGTCATTACTGTGGAAGGATGAAAGAAGCGAACGTTCATTTCCATAAATTTGCATGAACATTTTTCAGGCATCACACTGGCATTAGCTTCAATCTTGGGTTGATCAGTTGCACTTGAATCCCAAAATCTCTAAAGGCCTAAAAATTCAATCATGTCTGTCATCAATGTTATTTCTGTTGGTGAAGGTTTTAATGGAAATGCAACATTTCTCATACAAGTTTATTGATAAATGGCACAGATGACATCTGATGCATTTGTTCATCTGAGCTATTACATGTGCTACTTAAGGATAATTTGGGATAAAATAAAGCCTGGGCTAATTTGACCCTTTTAACATCTTCATGCTGAAAAACAAACTTCTGCAAGAAACAAACTTCTCTGTGTTGCTTGTTCAACAGTGACATTTTTCCATTTCAGTAAAACCTGAACGAGCCCACTCATATGAAAAGATTGAAGAGAGACACTAATGGACATTTCTTGTAAAAAAAAAAAAACAGGATGGTCTACTTTACCTTTTTTTAAAAATATATATTTTCGTCGACTGTAACACAAGAAAGGTGGAGAGAGACACAAGGAGTGGAGGAGAGATACAAAGATGTAGGTTTTTTCAGTATTAGATTAAAAAAAGCAAAAGGCTTAGAAACTGTGTGGAACTCTAAGTACATATAAACATGGGCCAGCCTGTCGGTGTTTGCCGTCTAAAAATTCTGCAGATATTCAGAAATTATAGGAGAACTTCTCTAATCAATGTATTGATTAGTGTTGACATTGCTGTCAATACACAGTGTGTGTTTTTTGTCTCAGTCAAAGGGAGTTTGACTTTACAATCCAGTAGTTGTTAAGATTGCATTTTGTGTCCTCAGCTCCCCAGAGGCCTGCTGCTTTCTGGGGCTGTGGGTAACCTCCCTTCTCTCTTTCCTCACTGTTTCACCTGGGAAAATCCAGTTTTACTCTGTTTTTATTTAATTATTGGTGTACAATTGAATTAGACCACAACACTCATTTTTATCAGCTGAGCCAGCATCCATAGATTACTTGAAGGCGGCTGCTAATGTCTCTGAGGATAGGCTCTGTGTTTGCTCAGGCACAAAGAGAAAAGCATGTTATCAAGCCAAATGACCACGGAGAATTAGATAATGAATTATAGTTACTGCTTGCCTTCTGCATTTGCCAAACCCTCATACTGCTGCTTTCAGGTAAACACCATGTGTCCTTAAAAGTCAGCTTAATGAGAACTTTATTAAAAGAGCACAGCCACGCTGTCGATACTGAAGATTTAATCAGTTCCACTGTGTGAGTTTCATTGGCTGCAGGGTCAGGAAAGTTGATCTGGCTCTAAATTAAAATCATGTTCCCTGAGATAACAGCAACAGCAACATGCAGCTGGGTCAGATTTTGTCACTAGTGTTTGTATTTTCATCTTGACTGTGTAGTACTGGTACACATTCAGTCATTCAAGACAGGATTCAGTGGTACTTTTACTAATGCATGAATCATAATCGAGTAAAGCAATAAGGGTTGTGCAGCACTGATGAAGGCAACTACCTGTAGCTGCATCATGTGACATTTCAGCTTGATTAACAAGAACCTTTGACGGTGTTAATTACTGTGCATTTTTAAAATGTGTTAGTTATGGTTTCAGGTGAAGTCCAACTGATTGTGAAGGCCTTTGGGTTGCTTATTTTAAACATGACATAATGCAGAAGAAAGTGCCCACGCAGCGTTGAAACATGGCCTCACTGGTTCTAGTTTATCTCTGTTCTGAAGTACAGACAGTACGTTGGCGCAGTGTCATACCACAGTCTGAGAGAAGTAATAAGTGTAATCGTTCAGCTGTAAAATCTTCAGCTTTCGGGACACTTTACTGCCACGTCTCAGACAAATGCCACATCTGAGTGACTGTTACTAATGAAGAAAGAAGAAATCATGGATTAATATTGCCTTTTCTTTTATATTAATATAATCAGGAAATATAGAACAAATCACAAGAACAGTACAGGGACAGACTTGACAATACAAAGCCAAAGACGAGCACATCAGAGAGGAAAACCTGAAAATAAACAAGGTAAAGATACTGTATAATGGTGATCTACACGCAAAGTGAAATCCTGACAGCAGTAACGGGGAAGAAAGCTAAGAATAAACATGTCAGTACAGAAATATTCCAAAAATACATACATAAATTCATAATTAATACCGTATGTTAAGGAGTCATTGTGTGAGATTTCTTTTTCCTTCTTGTTACAATAAGGATTTCTGCTTTCATTCATTCTTACTTGAATCTAAGCTGAATAAACAATTGGTTTGTGATTCAAACTCAGCTCCTCCTGATTGAGACTCCTCTTCTCTGCAGGTGTAACCGGCACCTTTTAAATGATTGAACAATTAAAGTAAACAAACCCATGTATTTTTCCAAATTGTCGCCGAGTTGATTGCACGTTCTTCGGTAATGAATAGAGCACCTCCCCGATGGGATCAGTAGACTGAGAGCAATTAATTAGGTGTTATGGAAGTCGTGTGTGCGTGGTCGTCTCGGCACCGAAGAAAGTGTCAGTGTCAAGAAAAAAACTTGGGTTTTAAGGTAGAAGTGTTCAAATAACTTTATTTTATATACAGATTTGAATTTTTATCCTGTTTGGAGAAAAAATTGCCTGCTCTCAGCTTATGCAGTGTGTAAAAAAAAAAAAAAAAAAACAATAAATTACTTAATACATTAAAATAATAATTTGACGAAATGGAAAATATGCAGAAAATGCAGTCGCTTTCTTGCCCAGAGTTAGATGATAAGCTCTGTTATATCTCAAAGACTGGAGCCAAGAGAACATCCAGCACATAATCCCCAGTAAAACCAAAATGTATGAGGTAAGACGGTTTTTAATGATGTGCGTACATATTAGTCTATGGTTGTGCATAAATTAATAAGTTGTACACAACATTGTGTCTTTGTGAACTCTTGTATAAGTCAAATCATATCCAAACTTCAACAAATTGCAAATAAGTACTGAAAACCTATGCTTGTGCTTTCCTCGTTATGAAAACAAATTACAACAGTGACCAAAAATACATTACGGGGTCACAGGCGTGTTATTAAAGCTACTCGACACTGCACAGTTTTCATACAGCAACAGGCTGCACCATACTCGGTTACAGTTATGTTTTAATGTTGTACTGACGTCACATATACATGATTATACATTAAAGTATTATATACTCTTTTTATATTGTTTTAGCAAAATAAACATGTTCCCACAAATATCTGGGACTATTTTCAGCTATTGGTTAATGTACAGTCGGGGCTCTAGGACGTGTACCTTGGATGAATTCAAAGTAAACGAAAACAGTATGGCTCATATTTGTGTTATACTGTATTTCAATATAAGAGCATTGTATATCAGATACTTGGTAGTACTGTAGGACTTTTGTCATAGGCTTTGTTGACGGTAATAAACTTAAAATATTGCCAGGCCTATCCTTGAAATATATGGCCACATAAATTCGTTGCTGAGGGCTTCAAAACACTTGTTTCCAATATAAAAGCTGCATCTTTCCATCACAACCTTTGGAGAAAAAGTGACTTTTCTTTGAACAGCCGCTCTACTGTTGCGTTTACTTCCATGTGTAATTATTCATAAAGTCTGCGGCTGCTCTTCAGTTTCAGGAGAGCTGTAATTACACCACCCCTTGTCTTTGCTGCTCTCTCTGTCCAGGGTGTCATAATGAACGTTACGTTCCCATTATCACAGACTCTCTTTTTTTATTGCTGCATCATTTGTTTTCGAGTTAATGAGCCAGAAGGTTTACCTCTGCCTGAGTAATGTTCCTCCCTCTGCTTGCTTTTCTTTCTTCTGATATGCCCTCTTGTATTGTTTGTCTCTCAGCTTTACTCTCCCTTCATCAGTTCCTCCTTTGACCCTTGTCTGTTTTGACAATTGTTTAAGCTAAATTCAGACTATTTAATATTCTAGTGTGGATGCACTGTTATTGAACTAACACAGAGGCACTAATGTGATTCATCTAATACAAGGTCTACATCCTTCTGCTAATTATATCCTGTCACACAAGAACACAGTTTTAAGTGTTAATCTACAGGGGGATGTTATTAATTTTGTTACTTGTTAATAGATAATTGCTGTGGTGTTTCTGCTCTGCCATTCTCAAAGCTCAGCTGTCGGTCGAGTTCGTGGCAGAATAAGTTTTTTAAAATGTTGTTTCATTAAGTAGAATTATAGAATGCTAAGATGGTAGTGATATTATAAACAAAACATATATTTGCCTTTGTGGGTTATAAGAATAGTGATATTGTTATATTCACAGTAACAATTTCACATGTTCTTGCTGAGGTGACTTTCCTTAGGGAGTTCAACACATAACCCCTCATAAAACATTTTTGTACAGATTAACCAAGTGACATATAACATGTTACTAAGCTTTAGAGCTGCTTGTGACTGGGTTTGTTCCTTTTGGATGCAGCCAGGCCAGCGGTTTCTTTCTCTTTCCTGTCTTTATGCTAAGCTAGGCTACCCAGCTGCAGCTGTACTCACAAATGCTCTCCATCCAACCTCACTGAGCTCGAGCTGTTTTGCAAGGAGGCATGGGCAAAAATTTCAGTCTCTCGATGTGCAAAACTGATAGAGACATACCCCAAGCGCCTTACAGCTGTAATCGCAGCAAAAGGTGGCGCTACAAAGTATTAACTTAAGGGGGCTGAATAATTTTGCACGCCCAATTTTTCAGTTTTTTATTTGTTAAAAAAGTTTGCAATATCCAATAAATTTTGTTCCACTTCATGATTGTGTCCCACTTGTTGTTGATTCTTCACAAAAAATTACAGTTTTATATCTTTATGTTTGAAGCCTGAAATGTGGCAAAAGGTCGCAAAGTTCAAGGGGGCCGAATATTTTCGCAAGGCACTGTATGTGAATGGCGTTGATCTTCTAATCCTAAAGTGTCAAACTCTCCTTTCAGTGCTGTGTGGGAATTACAACTAACAGTTACTGGCATGTTTCTATTTTTGATGGTGGAAAACCAGAATATCTTTCCCTTTTTTCACAGCTGCTTTCTCTCCTTGTCACTTTCTGGTTGGAGAGATGTCGTGAGGAGAATGTGGAGGGAAAATCTTTGGCATTGATCTTTCTTGTTTAGAGGAGTAAATGAACATTTTGCCATCTACTAATAGAGATGAGCAAAATAAAAGTGTGATTACATGCCTCATTATATCCTCTTATGAGTTGGGCTGCCTGTTATACGATGTTTTTGTGCCTGATTTAAGGTGTAGTTGAAAACATGAAATACACAGCAGAAGAACATAAACACAAGCATCCCAACGGACTAGGTTTTTTCCTTACACATTTGTGCATGATGTGTTTGTCTTTTCTTCCAACCCACACAGGATGCTGCTCAATGCCACACAACATGAAAATGAAGACAGTAATAAAGAAATTGTATTCTTTTGTATTTTCGCCTTCTGTTTTAGGCAGAATACTAATGGTAACCATACATCGGTAAAAGCATCACATTTTTGACTGTATTTTCGCTGTAATCTTCTCCACTCCACCTCTAACATTTTCTGTCCAGTGTTTTATGTTGTGGCTGGAGGATTGTTGAAACCCCACCACCACCGCCCACTTGGGATGCCTAAAATGGCTAAATCTGGGTGAAGATCTATAGTCCACAGTCATTTTAATTTCTTTTTTAATATGTTTCTCTGCTGGCCACAACTCCTCCAGCATAATGCTGAGGATTTTCCATATTTAAGTTCTAAAATATCTGTTTTTGGTCCTCCAGTCAAACTCGCTCAAATTTGCACTGTTCATTGGTTTATGGCCAAACAATCAGCTCTACTTCCTCCTGAGGGAAATATCTGGATTTTTAACTGCTTTATCTTCACTACGTTTACCAGATTGTTGGTGTCTGTCTGACATTTGGTGTGAAGCAGGTATTCTACAGTGAATTTATCAGAAGGTTTTTTTGTTTCTGAAATGAAAACATCTCTGGTTAGAGAGCAACAAAACAGCAGCATGTTGGTCCAGAAAATCACAATTTACTCAAAGAATACTAAAATGTGGCATGGAGCTGAGGGGATCTGTGGTGGCTGATGAAAGTTTTTTATGAGCTACAATTTTCACATTACCTAATGAACATATTGTTAATATAAAAATGATAATATGCTGCACACATGCTTTTAGCTGGTTGACATACAGGTACAGCTCAATCAATTAGAATATCGTGGAAAAGTCCATTTATTTCAGTAATTCAACTCAAATAGTGAAACTCGTGTATTATATAAATTCAGTACACACAGACTGAAGTAGTTTAAGCCGTTGGGTCTTTTAATTGTGATGATTTTGTTCACATTTAACAAAAACCCACCAAATCACTATCTCAATAAATTAGAATATGGTGACATTCCACTCAGCTAGTCAACTCAAAACACCTGCAAAGGTGTCCTGAGCCTTCAAAATGGTCACTGTTTGGTTCACTAGGCTACACAATCATGGGGAAGACTGCTGATCTGACAGTTGTCCAGGAGACAACCATCGACACCCTTCACCAGGAGGGTAAGCCACAAACATTCATTGTCAAAGAAGCTGGCTGTTCACAGAGTGCTGTAT